CAGGTGCTACAAGCATTTACAAGCGGCCCCAATTTAGAGCACGCCCCCCAAGTTGGGGTGAACCCGCCTTCATTTCCGAGGCCCGAGGCATCCAAAGTGGCCGGTTGGAGTATGCAAGAGGGAACCAATGGAAGCCGTCTGAAACCTATTGGTTACTGTTCCTCACAATCCGGTGGTGTTTTTGTTCTTTCTTACAAGCCATTGGTTGTCTTTTCTCACAATCCAGCGGGGATTTGTTGGCCATCGCCCTGTGATTGGGGTTGGGCTCGGGAACGAGGAGAGAGGGCAACAAGCGCGTGCCTTGCCCAGTTTGAGTTGTTTGGACCAGCATGTGTTTGAGTGCCACTGAACAATCCAGTCGCAGAGAGCGAACAAATGCTTATGGCAGCTTGTATGGTTACCTCTTTGCCTGAACTCAGAGGCTCAACTCTTTTCTCCACTTGTGCACGTGGTATCTGTTTTGTAGGTTCGCTTCTTTGCTTCTGCGGTTGCTAGCACAGGCTGGGAAGTTCTTTCGGTTGTTTGTTTTTGGCAGTTTGCTTGCCGACTTGGGTGGGGGTTCAAGGGCTGGCAGGACCATCGCTGTCTCTTGAGAGGGATGTATCACGAGTTCAATGTTTAACACTTGGCAGAGGAAGCAATACCATGGCCAAGCCATGTTGTTTCGACTGCTCGGATGACTCGAATGCAGCACTTTTGGAACTGGTCACGGTCAAAGCTTCTCTTAGACTCTCGCATACAAGGGGCTAGCTATTAACTACTAGTGGTGTTTCCCTATAATAGGGGCTAAACAAAGTACCCCACAACGCCATTCTGATTGTATATTTAGACCTTATAGTAGCTATTGAAGCTAAGAGGCCCTGCAGTTCATTGCATGGGGCTGAAGGTTTTTGGCCAATGAAATGCTTTGGCTGCCTTGGTCCTTTTGTGGTACTCCCCTGCAGATGAACATGGAACCCCACCATTTTTCTTCGCAGAAACCTTGTTTTTGTTTTCTGCTACCCCTTTTTGGGTTCCTTCTGTTCGTTTGCAGAGTAGCGATCCCTGCACTGACATTCAGGTTCAGGAAGCCGCTCCTTACGACTCAGGATGACTAGCTTCGATTACGCGCTTTCCAAAAAGTCGCAAGCGCTCTTCACTTGGAAGGTGTGGGTCTCACTGTCACGTTGCCTCAACTACATCCGGCAAAGCACGAGTCCAGACTGAGCAACACTTGGCGTGATGAGTTGTACCTGCACCAAGGCACGTGTTTTGCGATCCAGGATGTCGGTAGCTGTGAGTCAACATGCTGATCGACATTTGCGTGAAGTTAGGAAACGTGAACGTGACGAACATGGTCGATTTGATCGCCGCATATTTTGGCTCAGCATCTTGGCAGTCAAGCGGACGATGCAGAGAAAGATACACCTCTACAGTCTTAAGGCATGATCTTCTTCTAGTCTTCCTGGTTCTCTCTCTTTCTCTCTCTGGGCCTGCCACAGTGGCTTCATTTGGTGAGTGTGGTGCTTGCCTTGGGTGGGCCAAACTTAGCAATAATCAAAGATCAAACGGTCATTCCACTGCTTGTTTACATCTCCAGTGCCACGTGTCTCCTGAGTCTAGTCACCAACAGAAACCCGATGTAAACGAAGGGGATGCGGCAAGTGCCCTAAGCAGAAGCTGCAGCCTAGGGCTTTCAGCGGGTCGATGGGAACGCATGGAGGGGCTCAAAGATCAGTGCCGCCTTTGCGCCTGAGACCCAGCCGATCCATTGGGTGGCAACTGGGGGTTTCACTTTGGGATGCCACGAGTGTTTCAGAATGGCTTGATTGATCCTTGGTTGAACCTTTAATCTTCAACTTGAAAATGTGTTTGTTTTCCTGCTGACGGCAAAAGCTTGATGTTGTCGCAGGGGGTCGAAGACCAACCTGGCTTTTCTGACCTTGGCAGTGTGGCAGTGAGCCAGAGATCGTCACTGTAGAGTTGAGGACCGATTTAGCACACGTCACGATTTGGTCAACACTCCAAAACGACCGAAGGTAACACCTAGTGCCGATCTCGGATGAATACATTTTGCGGAGGAGCAGGGTGTTGAAGCTAATTTCCCCCGGAGAAAAAATAATACGCTGGATTCCCTTCCTTCAAACTGACCGCCAGGCCCTGCGGCTCGAGGGCTGCCGCAACACGGAGCCCGGGTCCTGCTGAGCATCTTGCGTCGGTGAGTTGGGCCTCACTCCCCATCCCAATCCCTTTTTTGCGGGCAGGTCTGTCGGATAGAACCATATCTTTGGATACAACCTATTGGCCTGGGATTCCCCTATGTGGCCCTTAAACCCTATTGTCCCATGCCTACTGGCTTCCTGGGGCAAACAAATATCTAAACATGTTGCTTACGAAGTGGTCTTCCCAAAAAGTCACGCCCAACTCGGCAATTGGTGGCGTTTTGGGTTCCACGGCGACTCAGGTCCTACACTGGGGCCCTCAAGGCGATTGAAGGTGAAGGTGGGAGGGGGGGATCGATTGCGGCTGTTTGCGACAAGGGCTCAAGTATTTGACCGGCTGAAACAATACATGGCGAAGTATTGGCAGCATGTGCAACACAATCTGCAACTATCTGCGTTGCTGTACCTTTCAAGCTGCTGAAACTATCTGCGTTGCTGTACCTTTCAAGCTGCGGGCAAAACAGAGTTCCGAAGAGAAAAGGCACGACGCTCGATTTGCCTATTTCGATAACCGACTTGCTTTGCTCAGACAGGATAGCCCAGGCCTAAGCGTGGAGTCGTCATGTGGCCAGGCGTTTGCGGGCTGTGCCTGGGCCTTCTGGGCGATGTGCAGGAGCATGGTGTGTCTTGTATGGGGAGCCACTTCAGGTTGGTAAGGGGAATGCAGAAGGCCAGTCACGTGTGGTTTCGGGGTCCCCAAATCTATGAAGACCGCGGGTTGGGTGCAAGGTAGCACAAGGAGAGCAACGCTCAGTTGCTCAGCTCGCTTGCAGGAGCCCCTGCGACAGCTGCTCCAGGAGGTCGGGGCGATCCTTTTGTGTCAAGAGTACCCGGGTGCCCTTTTCGGGTGGGCTTAAAGGGGTACCCTTCCTCCCACTAACATAGCAACTGAGATGGGGGCTTCAAAAGGAACTTAGTCTTCCAGGTACCTCCCCACAGGTGACATGTCAGTTGGAGGAATGGTAAGCCGCCAGTTTTGGGGGTCCTTTGGACACACCCATTTGAAGTCTGTGCTCTTTCGCTCCTTTCGCAGGCGCCTGCAGTGGAGGGCAAGTACTACAAGCTCTTGGCTCAGGGCAATCCTCGCGTTTTCCCATGTTCCGACGGGCACCAACCTACTAATGAACCCCCCAAATTAGGAAAAAAAACAACGATTTGTTAGGGGGACCGACTGCGGTTTTCGGCACCCTGGCAAATCAGCTTTCCTTTAAAATGAGGTGTCTGAGAGGCCGTTTGGCAAAGCCAGGAAAGAGGGAGGAAAGGGCCCCAAAATTCAAGTGCAGTTGGTGCAGGGCGGGGCCGGGGTTTTGTGTCTGGAAGACATGTGTTATCAGGAGGGACTCTTAATTGGGACAGGATTGTAGCAATCACAGTATGCTCTTACAACTTTGGTACTTCGATACAACGATTGCGGGTTTGAGGGATCTGTGCAAGCTCCCCACACCCATTTCGTCAATCTCCCTATGTCATGGGTCCCGGGGGGGGGGGAGGACGGGGGAGGAGCAAATTAGCTCTTAAGGCCTTAGGGCCTTATTTGTGCTCCCCTCGCCTCCCTCCATGAAAGGAGCATGTTTGTTTTTTGTTGTTTTTTAACAAACACACTTATTGGCACAAAAGCGAGAGTATCGCGATTGTGGTTTGCTCTTGGTAGGAAAAGAACCAATTTTTGCCAAGTTCTAAACAACATAAACAACAAAGAAAGACGATTCTACATGCCCGGTGTCTGCAAGTGACGTACGACCGAGGTTCAGCATCGCGTTGCCTGTCAGCGTGGCCCTGCGGCAGTGCCTTGGATCCGATTGCTGCGAGCCGCCGGTCAGAGCCCCTCCAACAGGTGCAGGTATACGTGTGTGTTTTCCCGCATGCGCAGCAGAAGGGTTCCCGTTTAGAGGTCGGGGGTCTGGGGGTTAGGACGTGACCAGAAGTCGTTGAATTTACGTCCCCAAGCGTTCGCAAGCGTCCGCAAGCGTCCGTATGTGTTCACGAGTGTCGCGGTCGCAGTTCCAATGGAGAAAGCGAAAAACGTGCCGTTTAGATGACTTGAAGCGTGACATTTTTCGTGCCCCTGTGCGGGAATCGTAGCTCTTAGTATGTTAGATGTTGTTTTGCTGCGCAGGCGCAGTGTTTTGTGAAGGTTCACGCTTGCGTTGCAAATCCATTGTGATTCGCGTTTCAGGGGTTGTCGTTTGAGGTGTTTTGCTTGGAATGCGCGCGGAGCGTTTCCTCGAATGTCGTTTTTCGTTGGCCCTGTCGTACAATCGGCTCGTTTTCACGACTTTAGAATTGCAAGAAATCGGTCGAAATCATTCTGGCGCTACAGTCCCGCGCTTGTTTTCCGCGTGCGATGCGAGAATGTCAAATTCTGATTTCGTGGCAGGCGCAGTACTTTGAGCGCTTTGCATGTCGCTGTAACGTCATTTCTCGTGACAGGCGCAGCACTTTTGAGCTGTTCGTGCAGATTTTGTGGCAGGCGCAGCGCTTTAGAGCTTTTCGTGCAGATTCGTGGCAGGCGCAGCACTTGGAGCGGGTTGAATTGCTTTCGCCGCACATTTTGAGATTGCGAAGTCGTGACGAAACACGCGACGACAGAGGTGACACGAAACGCGAGTAGGGTCGTGGCTAGAGACATGAGCAAGACCACGAAAGACAGGACGGGAGGTGTGCCGGAGTCGTCGCGTGAGGCGCGTCGAGACACATTATGAGAGATGTGATGAAAGTTATGACGAGAGACGGGACCAGAGTTGTTACGACAGACGTGACAAAGGACGTGACCAAAGACGTGACAAGAGACGCGAGGAGAGCCATGACGAGAGACGATGCGACAAGAGACGTGACGAGGATCGTGACGCGAGAGGTTGGCAGAGACGGGACGGCAAATATGACAAGTTGACAAGAGACGTGTGAGAAGAGACGTGGCGAGGGTTGTGACCAGAGACCCGAGACGTGACGCGAGGGGCGACGACGCACGTGACAGCGGACGTCTCCAAGAAAGACGTGACGGGAGATGCTACGTAGTTGCGACGAGAGGCGCATCAAGGCGCGTGATGAAAAATGTGATGATGAAAGATGTGACGAAAGTCATGACGAGAGACGTGGCCAGAGTTGTTACAAGAGACCTGTCAAGGGACGTGGCCAAAAGCGTGACTAGCTACGAGACGATAGATGTGACAAGAAGCGTTGTTGCGTGAGACGCGACAAAGGACGTGACCAAAGACGTGGCCAAAGACGTGACTAAGAGACGTGACCAGAAAAGAAGGAGAGACGTGACAAGAGACGCTGTTGCGAGAAACCTGACAAGGGGCATGACCAGAGACGTGACTCGAGACGCCGCCAGAGACGTGACTATACACAAAAACGAGGCATAGCCAGATACTCTACGTGGTGATAAGTGTCATAAGAGACGTGTGAGGAGAGACGTGACGAGATTGGACCAGAGACGTGACGAGAGATGTGGCAAGAGACGTGTGAAAAGAAGGGCCGACGACTCATGCGTGACAAGAGACGTGGCGAGAGTCGCCAAGAAAGACGCGGCGGGAAACGCGACGGAGTCGTGACGACAGGCGCGGCGAGACACGTCATAAAGACCAGAGACGCGACGCGAGGGGTGACGACTGACAAGACACATGATGAGAGACGTGGCCAGAGTTGCTACGAGAGGCGTGACAAACGATGTGACCAAAGGCATGACTAGAGACGTTACCAGAGACGTGACCAGAGACGTGACTATAGACACGTGAGTAGAGTCGCGACGCGAGATGTGGCAAGAGTCCGCTTTTGTGTCCGCATTTTAACGGGAAATCAACAGGTAAACCACCATTTCTCGGGATTCTTAAAATTACTTCGCTTCGAGCAATCCCCACCCTCCACACTCACGAGCTTACGACCGTGAACACAGTTGCGTGAATTCAAGCATGGTTTTCGAGTGGCTTGGGGCCTTATCCACCTGTCTGTGTGTCAAACTCCACTTGTCTGCGAGCTGATCTTGAATCTTGAGAACTCAAACATCGGTTCCGTTAACAAAAGCCAAGCCCCTTCCAAAAAGAAACCCGACGGGGGATTAAACGAAGTTGCTTATTCACAACCCAAAGCAACACAAAAGCATCACTTTCCGAGCCTCAGGGTACACTCAAAACACGAAGGCAGCCCCACTGTGCGCCGGGCGGGACAAGCAAAACCAGACTGGCGAGCTGCTCTGGCGGGACACTGGCGGGATCCACTGGCGAATACTGGCGAGCCGTTCCGGCTCGATACTGGCCGGATACTCGGCAGGATCCACCGGCAAGGGATACTCAGCAGGATACTTGGCGGGATCCACTGCCAAGCTACTGTGGATACTCAGCGGGATACTCAGCGGGAGCCGCTGCTGGGCTGCTCTGGTGGGATACTTGGCGGGATCCACTGAGGATACTCAGCGGGATCCACTGGCGAGCTACTCTGGGATGCTCAGCGGGAGATACTTGGCGGGATTTACTGGCGAGCTGCTCCAATGGGATGCACTCTGGCGGGATACTCGGCGGGATACACTGGCGAGCCGCTCTGGCAGGATATTTCGCAGGATTTACTGGCGAGCCGCTCTGGTGGGATACTCGGCGGGGTTCACTGGCGAGCCGCTCGGCGGGATACTCGGGATCCACTGGCGAGCAGCTCTGGCGGGATACTGGGCAGGATCCACTGGCGAGCAGCTCTGGCAAGATACTCGGCGGGATCCACCGGCGAGATGCTTTGCCCTCGGATACTCGGCGGGATCCACTGGCGAGCCGGGATAGTCGGCGGGATCCACTGGCGAGCAGCTCTGGCAAGATATTGGGCGGGATGCACTGGCGAGCAGCTCGAGCGGGATATTCGGCGGGATCCACTGGAGAACTGCTCTAGCGGGATACTGGGCGGGGGCGTGGTGTAGAAGCATCGCAAATGCGGATTCCAACATAAAATCTAACAACCCCTTCCTATCGGGTGGGAAGCAAAAAGCCCACTGCGGGATTCGCGCGCCGACGTGGGCACGCTGTCGTGTCAAGCTAAGCTAAGCTCCCTTTTCCGAGTTGGACATCGGATCGCAAGTGGATCTGAGGCAGATCCTCCTGTCCATGGCTCGCTCCGAGGCCCATTTGAGCTCCGCTTGTTTGATTTTTGAGGGTGCCCTTTTGGGGCTGATTTGAAGGGGAGCCAAAAGGAACCCAATGGTTTTGGGTGTCTCTCTCTGTTTGGAAAGAGCCCTTCCACTGAAAGCCAAAGTTGTTGGGGAAATCGACCACGCCTGGATTCAAACCTATGTGGTTGGCTCAACAAGTGCAAATCTGACTGGGAGGTTGACATGCTGACCATGGCGGTTCCCGACTCACCTAACAACGGTGGAACAAAATGTCACCAGGTATGATTGGCAAACCTTGCCGCACCCTTGGTGTCCTTTTAAGGTTAGCAATCCAGAAATATGTCACTGGTTTGGATTTGTTTTATTCCATGTACCAGGGCCATCTATTTTACCCAAAGGACACTTATGGTCCAGACATGTTTTACCCATCAATGTGTGTATTGCCCTGAGAAAAAGGCGTTCGGTGATCTATACGTCAACTTCAGATCCACTGGAACCGCTGTTCGATCACGCGTGTTGACATCATCTTCCTCCTGACCTTGTACTTGTTGCGAAGATGTGCGCGTTTCCACCAACCGGCATACGGTGTTTTTTTGGCAAGGGGCAATTGTCATCCAAAACTGTGCATTCCTGGCAGAATCACCATCATTGGGTCCATTTTTGCAAGGAAAAGGCTCCAAGACTGTGGGGACAAGATGATTCTGGTGGAAAGCAATCCATTGAGAGGGAGCCTAAAAGGAGGTCCCTGTATTTTTTCTGAAGCAGGAGGGGTCAGGGAAAATGTGTGATCTATACGTGTTCAGGTTGTGTTGGCCCCTCCAACATACGTGGCAAAGAGTTCCCTGGACCATTGTCCTCTCAAAGGGAGCTTCCATTTTGAGTGAGAGCCCTACCATCGCCATGGATCCGGAAAGATTGTCTCGTGTCTGTGGCAGTTGTCTTTTCTCCGCTCGGACCGCGCGAAAGGAGCGCGATGTGGTGAAGGTTCAGGCCGGGATCGGGTTCCCAGTATCCCTAGGACCCAGGAAGTGCCGAGCCTCAAAGAAGCCCAAGCCAACGGACCAATAGGCCGTAAGAGCCCCAAACTTGGTGTTCAGGCCCGAGCTGCTGGAAACAATCAACATCCCCTATGCCCATTGAGACAGGGTCGTGGCGTTTCCCAAAAGGGCCATAGTCCAGAGGCAAACCTTTACCGATTTGTTCATTTGTTGCTTGTCCTTTGTGGTTATGTTATAGGGGCTTCGACCAACGTGCTAGTATGCTTGGTTGGCAAGTTAGAGAACAGGACTTGTTCAAAAGGGTCATGGCGTTGTTTGCTTTTGGGAGTAGCAGGGCGTATTTGTTGTCAGGGGTTGGGCAACAGTCCTGTGGTTCGCCATAGGATGTGCTGCAGTGGCTTCTGCAGGATGCTCTAGGCAGGTATGCCGGGGCAAGCAAATGACTGCCGCATTGCAAGAACCCGAAAAAGGGGTCCGTTCAACCCAAAAGCAGCTTCTTCCAAAATGGATGGGCGTAGTTGGGGTCTCATGTTGAAAACCGTGCATTCAAGGTGCCCAAGATGATATTTGTGGTTCTTTGTCCAGATAATTTTGGTTCGAGCTCACCCAAGATGAAGGTTCCTGGGTTCCTTTCTTCGGGAATTATTTTAGGTTGGTGAATTAAAAGTAACTGTAGTGGCATCATTCCCATAATTGGCACTGCAATCTAGCATGTTGTTACGTAAAGCTATATGATGTGAATGGCTTGCTAGGAGTATCTTTGTGCTAGCTCAAGTTGCATATACGTATATGTATAAACACATGTGTGGCCACTCGCCAGGACCTCTGAATACAGTTTTGCTTGATGGCGAAATGTGCATGCTTCTGTAAATCCTGCGAACTTTGAACATATATGTTAGATGCCAGCAATGTCAAGTATTTCTTGGACATAGCTGTGCGCAATGTGCATATGACTGGCATCCCCGCCCCAACTAAAAAGTCCGAGTGCCCATTTGCTGTTTGAAAGTGCCGCCTCAGGACTGGACCTAGAAACAGATACTGACAGATTTGGTGAGGAATCGAAGCACAGAAGCAGAACACACAGCACGAATAAACTCCTGAACACACAGGACAGACCTCTGCATTTTGAAGCCCGAAAAGCCTAGATGCGGAAGTGTGAAAGCCGTGCACCTCAGCTCAATGCGCAATCCGAAAAATTGTCACGGATTACCTTTAGCTGTTTATGGACCACTCAAGCCGGATTCCGGAGAGACCCGCTTGTCAGCGCACCGTTGCATGCGCAACCCTATTAGATTCTTCCCTTTTGACCGGCGCCCTGTTTCGTGAGCAACTCGACAGAGATGGACAACTAGGTCCCCCAGTAGTGCCCTTTTACCTTTTTTTGAGGGAGGGTTCCCCTACTAAAATAGACTCCACCCTTGTTCTAACCTCTCTACTGGAGGACCTAGACAATTCTAGAAGCTTGCGCAGGTGCTATGGGCCTCGCACCTCTCGCAGGTCTCGCGGAGGAGCAAGCGTTACAGCATGACATCATTCCGGGTCCATGGCTCCCAGCCTTCTTTTGTTGTGCCCGCCCCCCCCCCCCGTTGCTGACGTTTTTGTTTTTTTGCCCTGTTGGACAATGCTCACTGCTGAACGACTTGCTGTAATGGATGATATTCTTCCAAGCTGCGAGCGTTCTCCAAGTCATTGTCTCAAAAGGGTGGTTCCCCGTTACTTTATTACTTTCATTTGCTCGGGACATGCTTTAGGTTTTGTTTTTTCAGACTTCAAAGTCCTCTGCTAAATCCCGGTCAGCTCTATACTTCAAAGCACTTTGGCTCAAGATGCTGTCATCTTATTGGGTCCGTCATGTATTTTGACTTGCTTTCAACAGTTTCCTTGATATCGCGACCTTTTCAACTGGTAGTCAGGCAGCAAGCTCTACCATATCTTGGCGATCCCCTCACGGATCGCAGGGGAGAAGCCTCCCCGACGAATCCGCACGGGCAAGCGAGCGTGGTCGCGTCGCGAGGCCTTTTTGAGCTTTCAGGAATTTCAAGGCCGCCAGCAGCAGATTCCTGTAGGTCACGCTGGCCTAGAGGGCTCTCGCCAGGAGAGCAGACAAAGGGCAGTCTGGTTCGCAGCAAGCATTAGCATTCGCACACTGCTATCTTGCGCCAAAATGTAATGAAGTGCAAATCTCAATGGAAGCTTGAATGAAGAGACGAGGGATTTCTCAGAGGAAAATCAAGCCCCCCCATCTTCCCATCTTCCTGTACAAGGTCAGGCGATGAGGAATACGATCTTTCCTTGAAGCTCAACCTGCAACATGTCCAGTGATGATGCTGTCAAAAGCCAACCGTGCATCCTGTCAAGATCAAGAACCTACAGATCAGGCGCGGCATCACTCTACGACGACGAGCAACCCCAGCGCATCCACATGTGCTTGGATCTCTAATGTACGGTCAGGCACATGCTCCAAGTTCCTAGGCTCAGACATTTTTGACGCAAACCAACGAGCAAACCTGGGGAGCATGTCAGAAGAGGCTTCATGTTCTTCAAGGGGGTGCGATGAAGCCCGAGAGGTGTCACAAAGAGTGGTAGCCATAAGCAAGGCGTCTCGCCAAATCCAGAAACCAGCAGCTCCGGAATGGCGTCCAACTTCAGAAAGGGTCTTTGCGAGCGCAAGCGGTTTGTCACAGTTGGCTGAAGCCCCACTGTGGCACACTCCTCATGAACATGCTGGACAGTGTACCCGCGCTGTTATGGCCTTTGTCTTTGCGCTCTGCTGCTTGTGGCAGTTGACACAGTGCTGCGATGGCATCCAACTTCACAACACTAGGCCAAAATCTCCGTTGCTGCTCGGCGGCTCGCGATGCTGGCAAATCCTTCGGAGCAATTTCGTGCCATGCTTGAGGAAGTGAACAACGCTCGCGTTTCGACGCCTGAGGCGTGCAGCAAACCTCATGGTGATCCACACAAATCGCACTCCGATGGTCCAAAATGACAGCATCTGGGTATGGGTCAAAATTTAACCACAAGGGGACCGCAGGTTTTAGTCCTTGGTTCCATTTACCAGGGTTCCATTTTGGGTACCAATTTTTGACCCACAGCCATCCCTCTCTCTCTCTCTCTGCAGGGAGCGGACCTCGGCAACTGCGTGCGACCGTCTCTGACAGCGCTGGGTTCAGCGCAGGCGACTGCAGCTGCTGAGGGGAGCACCCGACTCAAACCAGCACGTTCTCGCTCGGCGATCTCTGGACTCCTGCAAGCAATAGGAATGGTATTGATCAGGGGACCGCAAACAAAAACTGAACGTATTGGGATCGTGGGTTCGAAGCGTCCGCGTCCTTTCCTCAAAGTCTTTCCAAAACGAGCAGCAAAAATGCGCGGCAGATTCAATCACACCGTGAACCTGATCGGGAGGTTCAAGCGGCCTTGAGGCTCCCCTCCTCCTGCTCCTCCTCCTCCTCCTCCTCCTCCTCCTCAGTCTTTTCCTTGATACAGCGTCGTTTTCAGGTTTAAGTGCCGGCCCCTTTCGCTCGCTTTAAAGATGTTTGGGTTGACACCGAAAGGCCTGTTCGTGGGCACGGACCACTAGCTTGCCCCATGGCCCATGCGTTTCCCCTTAGGCTCACGGCAGGTGTGTGCTCATTGTTCAGCACGGACTAGCAACCGGCAGCGTTAGATAGGAGCCTTCGTCGGATCTGGTGATTTGCATCCACGCAGGAGGACGGGAGATCGTTCGGGGGGAATCTAGCACCCCCAGGCATCCATGCTTTGAGTATCAGCCAAGTTGATTTGAGATGGCAGAGCTGGGTTCCTTTCCCATGGCGACATAATTTTGTCGGCAGCCAGCGCAACGAAAACATGCAAGCCAAGAGCCAAAGAGTATAAACAGCTCAGGCATCAACCACACGGGAAGGACGCAAAGCACGCTCGATCTGCTGTCATCGCAGCCAGCAATGGCACGAAACGAGCCAGGGTTTCCGATTTCGACGGGAAAAGGAGTCATCCTGCCGGAGATGCAGCGGCAGCCTACTTTTTGACAGAGGAAAGAAGATCATTTTAACACCCTATGGACATGTTTGCCAAATATCATGTGAATCATGCCGGGCTCGAACCTGTACATCACCGGCCCTTGGGCAGATGGCAAGCAACAGTGCAGCCCAAGCCACGTCTTCTGAACTCCAGTGGCCAAAGTCTTTCTGGGTCAACAGGAATTCTCCATCTGCTTCAGGAAAGTGGTGATTGGTAGATATTTTCCCACCCCCCAGGCGAATACGCGGAGACAGATGAGGCCTTGCAGCCCGGGGCCCCGAAAGTTGCACAGTTCTGCCAAGGGCGCGTTCACTTGGCTGTGTTTTCTCCCTCAGGTTTCGAGATATTCTAGAATTTGCGGATTGGTTTTCGCTGGCTGCAAACATTCACCTCTGCCGTTTGAACATAGATGGACTTGATGGATTTCAGTTTGGTTCTAAGCATCCTATGGCTGTGGCTTGTTGACGAGGTGCAGACACGCAAGCTGCCACGAGTTCAGTTGAGTTGAAGTATCCAGCAATCTACGGCACACTAACAAAGACTGGACTCACAACGTTTCCGACGTGCTTGAGTCCTTTAAGGAAAAGTCACGTATCTTGATGGCTCATGTGGCTGCGTGTATTGTTCGGAGTGGCCGCTGCATTTGTTGCGAGGTGGCTGCCGAGTTCTCAGAGGCAGCGGGAGAATCTCTCGGGTAGGGAAGGGTCTGAGGGATGTCGCATGTGAAGACAATACCAAAAAGCATCAAAAAGCCCATGGGTACATTTTCTCAACCGGTTGATCAAACAAGCTGCAGGCCTCAAAGATTGCCCACAGTGTTCGGGCTGACCGGAGCTCAGAGCTTAGCATTCTCCAAGCCATATGCCTTCCGCGCCGCCAGGGGCGCGCGCTTTTCCAAGAAGCGGAAGCGCGAGCGGGACGGGATGGATGGCGACTCTGGCGCGCGCAGAGGTGTCTTGAAATAGGACCCCCAGCAATGGGTGCTCATTTTCGGTTTTTTTAGGGGCCCCGGTCGTACATGGCAAGCCCCGGTGAAGCTGGAGGCGTGTCCGAAGCAAGCTGAAATGGGAACTCAGAACGCAAGCGATCGCATTTCTGGGGCAAACTAGAGCGACCTAGCGGGTTGGATGAGACCTATGGTTAGGAGTGAGCCCTTTTGGGCTGCTGAGCTTGCAGGCTTAGAGCTGCATCTCACATTCAGCAAATCGGATCGGGCATGATGGATGAATGCCAGAGAACTTCCCGCCAACGGTCATGAATAAGGTTCCACGTTTGTTGATTGTCCCCCAGCTAGACTCAAACCCGGTCTCCAGAAAGGGGGAACTGGGTGAAACTCAGAATTAGACCCCCCTTGTGCATTTGGATCCTGTTGGGAAGCCGTAAGCCTGTTTGATTTGTTGAAATCGGCGGAGCGGGCAACGGAGATTCCCAAAAAACGATGCTCCAGGAGCCGCCGACACCCGAAGCGGCGGTGCAGGCAGGGGTTGTTTCTCTAGGCGTTACGAGTCACGTGTTGTCCGCTGGTTGCCTGTGAAGGTGGTGACTGAATTTGATGCGGTCATAGGGGCTCCGGATGAAGGAGTGGTTCCAAACGAAAGAGCATACACGCTGAGAAATTTGCAAAATCTTCGTCCGTCAACTATTGTTGCTTTTGGGGCTTATTGCTTTCTGGCAGTGGTTTGCTTGAACTGATGCCGTGCCTCGGGGTTTTCCACCTGACAATTGGCCATAGGGCAAACTCGCCACTCAGGTGCTTGATGGGCTTTGGGGAACCAATCTCCTCTCCTTGGAGGTGCAGCAACATTCCAAGGGCTTGAAGCTCCATGACCCACTGTTTTGGACTTCGGGCCTGTGCCAGAATTTATGGCTGAATTCGGCGAGAGGAACGGAATTCAGCAGCGTTGGTCGAGGGTTTGGCTAGTTTGCCTGCAGTTCGGGGTTGAACCAGAACAGCACGCTGCCCCCCCCCCCCCCCCCAATGAAATGGAAACGAAAAAGAAGGTGGGCAGATGGACCTGGAAACTCACAAGGAACTGTGCGATAGCTAACTATCTACTGTCAGCAAGAACTACCCTCCCATGGAGCCGGCTTGGACGACCATGTTCCTCTGAAAGGGACTTCAAGTTCCATGTTTGTGGACTGGAGGGTATCCAATCTAGTGTTCAACCTTCATTTGCTTCACCTCCGTTGGTCTTTAAAGGAGCCTATCACTGGATGTTTTTGTTCCAGGGGACTTGAGCAAACGGAATCAACCAATTGGGACCACTGCAGTTTCACCCACTGGCAGCAAGACCTTGCGTGTGAGCAGCCAATTGGCTGTGGGTCAAAACTCTATACCTCTGGTGAACATCAAAATCGGTGGCAAATGGATGTTCATCCACCCCAAAGTGGAGCCATAGGCTATGCCCCATGACCAATTTGTTTCAGACATTTTGTCACTGACGCTTCTTTTCTTGGTTTTAAAGGAATCTATCACTTGTGGATGTTTTTGTTCCAGGGGGACTCAAGCAAAAGGAAGCAACCAATTTGGGACCCCACTGCGGTTTCACCCACCAGCAAGACCTTGCGTGTGAGCAGCCAATTTGTTCCAGACAATTGGTTTGTTGTCTTCAATGGTTTGTTTGTTGTTTATTGTTTGTTTCAGACAAATTGTTTCCAGCGTTTGTTTTTCTTCCTCAGAGGCGCTGGATGGCTTAAGCTTCGCCGCCTGCGCGGAGAAGCTGCAGCTGGAGGAGGCAGCGCTGCTGCGAGGCCTTCGGCGGCGGCGCGGCGGCGCCTGGGTCGGCTGCGGTTGGTGGCGGTGAATTGGGTCATCCGTGGCTGGTGGGCTCAATTCCCGAGTTGCTGGAGTTTTTACCTCTTTGGGAAGAGGCTTTTTAGCGGGAAATGGAAAGTTCGGACTTGTTTCGGACCGTCCACTCAAAAAGTGAGTGGGGAAGTTGTCGTTTTTTTGTGTGGGGAAGTTGTCGTTTTTTTTGGGTTGGAGGGACACAGAAAAACAACAACAGGAACACTGGCCATTTTGGAGGTCCCTGAGTTGGAACTTCGGAGTTCAAGGCTTTGAGGGGCAAGCCTTCTTGGGAGCTGCAACTCCTCAATTCATCCAGGTTCTACTTCGGCCCGCTGTCAACCTCCTCGGTGTGAAACTGGGTCAAGATCAGAAACCAAGGTCCTTTCCCTCTACCGCTGAAGTGAGTTTGACAATTGTGAATCAATGGGGCCAGTCAAGACTGGAGGTTCCTGCTGAATGTTCAGGATTTGAACGATGCCTTCAAAACCACACCGGTCCGGTTAGGGCAGCCGTGGCCAATGCATACGGCCGCAATAATACCTATTCCCCGTGTATTGAGGGTTTCCAGGTGTTGTTTTGCTGTGTATAGGTTGGCTCGTTTCTTAAAGTCTTAAAGTTGATCAACTGGATCTATTGACATAGTAAAGGTAGATCCGGAAGTTGGGTGGTGGAGGTGGATTAATATGGCAACCTGTTTAAGGGGCTGCTGCAGATAATTTTATGGCAGGATCAGGTGAATTGTCTACACTTGCGTGGCATGAACCAATCCAAAACGGAAGCTAAAAGGGAAATGCATGAACGAGTCACAGAACTAAGAAGAATCCAGGAAATCCCGTCGCTAAAGGTCACTGTTTACTACCTACTTGTGAGGGACCCTTTGCTGGGTCTCATGCAGCCAACCATGCAGTCTTACATTGTTCTCACGTGGGCTAGTCTCAAAATGAGGGGACCCTCAATACCTTCTGTTTCCCTTTAAAGACAGCTAAAACCAGAAAAAAGACCCGCCCAAGTAGACTGAATCAATTCTGTTCGCGTCAGCTCAAGCTTGTTCGGAGCTCGTTCGAGGGTCATTGGTTGCAGGCGCTGTCTGCATTGCTGCAAGATGGCTCCCATCAAGAGCGACGTGTTTCTATTTTATTTGTCGGACCCTCTCATTTCAGGGCTTTTACTCCCTACTTTGAGTTTTGTTGGCTCCAAACTTTGCGGTGTTACCCTCGCAGTTTTGGGTGTTACGCAAATTCAGAAGCTGCAATTGGGCCCAGGGGTGCATTCTGCGCCCAAGCAATGGTTCCATTCTCTAAGGCCGCATGGGCCGGACATCTATGCCTCAGGGGCCAATGGTTGGTAGCCTTTATGCATCGGAGTTTGGCTTCGAAGTTGCCCAAATCGGATTCTCCATGGTATGCCTGCGGTTTCCCCATTCAAGACAGCCCAGGGTTTCCCAAATAAACACATCCTTTCACAGTTGTTGTACCCGACTTGGACTTGGCAGCCGTTCGGTTTGGAAAGCCACGAGAGGCTTGGAGAGGCCCAAGGGCATGCCGGCGAAGCTGCAGCTGCGCTTGCTGCGTGTGGGGTTCCCCACTCGGATCTGGTGCCTTTTTATTGTTTTGGGTGGTTTTCTTCGGATCTTTCCGGGGGGTTTTGGAATGTAGAAAAGCGACAACATGAACTCAGGCATGCTCAAAGAGCAAGAAAAACGCAAGAATCCGTCTCTTGCACTTTGTGCAAGCTTGACAGCGTCCATTCAAGCAAACCACCCCTGCCAGGATACGAAAACTCAAAGAATAGTTGAGGCGGGGTCTTGCATGAGGCTTGGGTTGGGACCCTCTAAGCCCCAATCACTTAGGGGGGTTGGACTTCACATTTGTTGCGTGGTCAAAATACCGAGGGATGGTCATGGGCCCCTAGGGAATTTTGACAGCCATGACAAGCTAAGAAGGATTCTTTTTCGTGACCGGCATGGGAGTTTTGTATCATGCAACATGACTCATGAGCATCACCCCACCAGGGGGAACTCAGGAATAATTTGGCCCAAGCCAACTACAAGCCCCTGAGGCGGTCAATCACAGACTGCCCTCGGGGCCTTTGTAGACCATGCTTTTTGAAAGGCAGCGCGAAAGCGTGGCTTCCCGGCGGTTTGTGTGTTTGATTGGCCCTCCACTTTGAGCAGTCCAGATGTTGGGGCGGAACGCCTTTTGGAAATTAGATGCGAAAGACCTTGACATGGCAAAGAGAGGCTCTTGAGCAAAACTCCCCTCGGACGTGAGTTTTGCTCAGATGCTCAGGACAGCTTCTACCTCCGCGGGAGGTACTTGAAGCTTTCCCGCAGGCATGGGGCTGCATGCTTCGGCTCATTGGGGGAGCAGCCTGTCTCTTACATGTAGGTGTTCGGGTCGACCTTTCAGTATGTATGATTTCTACTTTTCCTCAGAATTACGATGTACCCACTGACAAGCAAACAGGTAAACTTTCTGTCAAGGTCAAAGGCTAATCCAGCACGTGCCAGCATCTTGCGATCAACTTTTCGTTTAGAGCTGCTCGCCCTGGCTGGTCAGCTTCGCAGAAGTTTGAGCATATAACATTTAGGGCCGTGCACCAGCATGCCAGCAGCGCCAAAACAATTGGAGGTCGCAAACAAAAACGTGGACAAAGAAAGGGGCCACAGCTCCTGCGAACCCTATTTGCTTCTTTGGTGGGGGACAGGGGGGCGGGCGGGGTTTTGAGAAGTGGGTCTGCGAGGCACGTCTTCCGGGCTCTGCGAAGGAGAGGTTTTGCTTGCGTTTTTTCTGTGGGGAACTTCTGCGGGGGGTGCTGAAGTGCTTCTGCGAAGCAAGGCCTCGGTTCTGGGGAGACGGTGGCATCTTGCAAGTGGTCCTGCCAGCTTGATTTGGCGGAGTTTCCAGAGATCTGCCCGGGCAGGGTTGGCTCATCCAAAAGCAGTGAGACGCGAAGGAAAGTAGGCAGCCCCAAGTCTGCGGCGCAGGCTACCTCAGTCGCCTTGGCTCATCGAAGGTGAGCGCAAGGGTGACGGCTCCGTGGAGGTGCGATGGGAATCAGTGCACGCTCGTGTTTGGCTCCAAACTTATCCCTTCGGATTGCAATATCCAGCCTCAGGTATCCTGGTTTTGGAATTGACCTTTAGGCTCGACCTGGGTTGAAAATGGCTGGTTTCCCACATGGAGTTTAGCGTTTGCTGCGGGCCAAAGACCAATCTGGCTGTGTAGTGACCAAGGAACATCCTCCAGGATCCTTTCGGCAATGATGAGCCCACCGAACGGGTGCCAGGTGTGTTCCCAAAATTGGGTCCCGGACCCCTCCTGGTTTCATGGTTGGTTCTCCTTTTAATTTCTAGAGGCTTTGGGTTTTTTGGGCTCCCCCCCCATGCACGCGGCAAGCCGCATGAGGAGGAGCTCGCCACGGTGAGCAAACACTTTGGCGGCGAGGCGCGGGCCACCCGTGGGGTTGCTCAAAGGTCAGGAGTCACTACCCATGTGGGTCAAAACCAATGGGATCCCATTTGGGGTAGGTGCACCACCCATTTTAGAACCTATTTTAGTAGGGATTGGGATGTTCATTGGGGGTACGGGCTTTTGACGCATGGCCATGTGACTACGTCTTCTGTTAGACCCTCAAAGAAAAGAGACACCCAGAATCATGTGGCTGCGTCTTCTGTTAGACCCTCAAGGAAAAGACACACCCAGAATCATGTGTCTGTTGAATCCACCTTTCGCGGGGATCACCCCGCCAGACTCTGCGACCCCAGTTCGGCAATCGATATGCCACCTACAAATTCGGCGTTTCCCCCAAACAAAATACAAGAATTACCTTTTTGGTTGGACTTAGGGAAGCAAAGGGAAGCCCGTTTTTGGCGAAATGAGCGAACCCCCATGTCCCTTCCGAGACCGGTGAGTGCTCTCAAGGACGCTCAAACCGTTGGGCCCTCCAGGTCCGGTTCCACGCGGAGGGCCGCGAGGAGTCCGACGTCCATCGTCTCGCTCCGCGTTTGCTCCGGGTGTGCCGATGTCCGAATCGGAACAGGAGGGCTCAGTAGAGACTCCCTGGGTTCCTGGTAAGGAAAGCGGGGCGCAAAGGACAGCGGATTTGCCTGGCTTTCGGAGAACTGGGAGAATGAATCATGGAATGTCAGCGGGTGTTGGGTCAATGGGTCAATGCTTGCTGGCGCCGGAATTTCGAATTTCGCCGGGGCGGAGCTGCGAGCCTTTCTTGCACAGTTTCGTTTGCATAGGATGCAAAATACAGTGGATGCCCGGAACATTGCAAATCGAAGAGCAAGGGAAGCCATAAGAAAATAGTACTGCACATACACCAGGTCCTTGTGGTCGGATGCGGTGGCTTCACTTGCAATATTTAGAGACTCCAGCGAACCCATGGCAGCAAGTAGCAAAATTCCGTGCGATGACGTCGGCAGTTGCCAGGACATCGACGTGCGAATGCTGGGCCTTGGCCGACCCTTTGTGCTGGAGGCCCCTTGCGGTCTGTTGAGGAACTCTTGCGGAGTCGGCAGGCTACCGGCTGTGTGACAATACCAGGTTTTGGGTTTGAAGGTAAATCAACAGGAAGCCCGCCATTTTTGGGGCTTCCCCCCGGGGGGGCCCTATTTGGACACCTGGGGGTTGATCAAAAGGTCCCGGCAAGGACTTTCTGTGGTCGGAGACTATTGCTGCGGACTGTGCTCCCTTGACAGGGAGATGCGCAGCACCTTGACTTGCCCTTGATTCCCTGCCTGTGCCGGGAATGTCGCAAGCCCAAACGTCGTCTGGGCTACTTTGGAGCAAGTGTCGCGAAAGATCCACGGAAGACCTGCGAAAGCTCATGGAGTTTGTTGCAAGGTTCCGCATGTTGTGCCCAGGACGCGTGTCCTGGCAAGAGCAGGTGGCAAGGGCGATTGATAGTGACTGCTTTCATTTAACTCAGCTGCAACCCTGCCAGTGCAAGTGAACTGCTTTGGCTACCGCGTTTGCAAGCATAACGGCAGCATCCAAAACGGCTCCACAGCGCACGTTGCGAGCAAAAGGGCGTTGCGATGGAGTCGCGAAATATTCGAGACGTTTTTCTCGCGACAGGGATATGGGCCGAATCCAGGAGATGAGCTCAGCATCCAGATTGTGCGCGCGTCTCCTTGGCCCCTTTTTTGTTTGTCTACTGTGGAGAGTTGCTTGCATCGAGAAGTCGTTTCAAGCTGACATTTCTGCTGAAGGTGAAGAACGCGCGTGTGGTCACCGTAAACTTGGCCCGTGCCCCAGACCAAGACAAATTATCGCCTGTCACGGGTGTGTCAAGAAAGGCCTGGATCCAGGCAAGCTTTTCAGGGGCATGATTGGCACTTTGGCAACTTTTGGACTTCCGGGCGAATGATCCTTTCCACGTGTGTGGGTTTGAGCATGGTGAGTTGGTGCCAAGCAAGCATGAGAACGTGTTGAGCCTTTTTGCCTGGTGTGAATGGACAAAGGAAACCAACTGGGTGTCCCAAGTTGGAGAGAGTCAATCAAGTCACTTCAAAGTTCCGTTCCACTGTTTGTGGCAATTTGGAGGTTTGAAGTTTGGTTTTCCTTTGGTTTCCCTGTAAACCAACCTGAAAAGGGTGCCCTCAAAGAAGCACCCACCATTGTGTAGCCAATTCTCCGCACGTCTTCCAGTGTGTGACTTGCCGTTTTTTGGCGTCGCCTTAGGCCGACGTGGAGGCGGCGATGAACCGCGCCAGCGCCGGTGGGTCACTCAGCTGGTGGCAGGTGGCAGAGGCCATCCCACTTTTGCCATCTTTGACACTACCTCTTGACTGCTATTGGGTTGGATCTTTAGACTTTCTCTTTTTGGGAAATCAAGGGGTTTTCCACTAAACCCCCAAAAAGTTAAACTTTTTGCACGGGGGTCAACAGCAACCAAGTCCTGTTTGCACCCCAAAAAAACACGGATTCCTCGCTGAGTTCCCAGAGTGGGGTGTGTTCTGAACACAAGGTGCTGATTGGGCATTCCTGTTCGCGCCCGTGCTTCTTTGGTCTTTGCTGCAGGAGGAACAGTTGGACATTCGCGGATATGCTCCTAACCCCCTTTGAGCGTGTTTCTACAAATTGGGGACCCCTGAGAACGGGCAGTTCCTTGGTTATCCCATGCTTGGAAACATCCATGTTTTTCGGAAAGCGTCAAATGAGCTCTTGCCCCACCACTTAATATTTCAACCATACGTATCGCCCATGTACATTGGTTTGAAACGGGTGTATGCTTCCCTATTTGGGTGACTGCCATTAACCTTTTCTGTTCCATTTCAAGGGGTCATCCAACTTTCTACAATTCGTCAGGCTCCACTAACCATCCCTCTTTGCTCCTTGATGTTTCCTTCATGTTCCCTTTGCAGGGCTGTAAGCCTGCCCAAGCAGGGAAGATGCCCAACAAACACAAAAGCCGGAGTCCCCGCACGAAGCTTGGGTTGGGACATGTTGGGACCATTAACACCCTTGATGGACAAACTCCACTTGGCACCAGTTGGCTGATGTTGATTCGAACTGGCGCCGATCAGCCTGGATTTTGCCCATCGACGTGGGCTGGTTTCAGTTTGGCAGCTTCGCCTCAGCCTGCCATGGTCGAGGCGTGGAAGTCCGGCATCTGCAGCGGTGTCAGGCGGCAGCTTTTTGGGCGCGTCAGTGTTTGCAGGAACTAGAAGTTGCACACAGTTCCGAACCATGATCGTGAGGTAATTGGGGTTATTAGTACCCCCAGAACTGCTTTCTACTTGTTTAGGCCCTTATAGAACCTCTTTTTGGAGTTGTTCTGAAGGGAAATGGCATGCCATTTTGGTATGCGCTGAGCGCTGAGGCATGTGAAGAGTATGGGTCTGAAGCGTCCGCCGGTGTTTCCCCAAACAGATCCAGAGAGTAGACAGAGCCCGTTGGGTATGGGCCATGCACCCAAGAGTTACTGGAACATGGGGATAATCATAGAGGACAGAGTTCACTTTGAAGGGGCTACATTTTCTATTAGTACTCTTTTTCTTTTCGGGCTTGGGATTGGCATTCTGCTCGACTTGCCAAATTGAGAGTGTTATGGGCCTTCCACTGCGTTTCATTCCTGCGTCCTCGGGTGGCTTCCTGAAGCGTTGTTTTTGTTCTTGAAGACGACGAATCGGGCTGTGAGTGCGGCAGCAAAGTGCAGCCGTTGAGAAGAGATTTGTTAAGTGTCAGCGGTCCAAGCCCAAAGACAGTCTCTAGGCCAGCGTTGGCAGAGCTATGCTATTTGCAATGCTTTAACTTAACCAACACGCTGTATATGTTTTTGAGGGTGCCTTTGGTTGGTTTTTAAGGGAATCAGTGAAACGCGGACAAGCCAGAGCTGCGCGTCTTGGCTAGCTTTGCATAGCGCTGAGACGGCGCAATCCAGAACACGCGGCACAGGATGATGTCTTGCTACAGCACTGGGCCAACAGCTGAAAGCACATGAAGGAGTTCTGAAGAAGATACTATTTTCCCAGCACTTGCTGTTTTTGCAATCAGTGTTTACTAGCCTTCACCGGGGTATCATATCGCTGAGATGGGAGATGCTTCAAAATATTTAATGAGTATTCGCATGCAAAGACCACGACCGATATGGCAAAACAAAAAAACAACACTGCAAGGAGGCCAGTTTTAAGCGACAGCGCTGCCTCTGCGGGTTTGGAGTCCGGAGTTCGATGTGCGATGCCCTCTTCGTGTCAGAGCAACGGCTGTTTGAGGCCAGGGATGGGCATTGGGAACTGACTGGTTGACCTGGGTCTTGCACATATGTCAACCTCGGATTCTGTGTGGGGACCATGGTCAGTAGGGGCTGGTTCCCCGTCAAGTGGGGAACTGGTTCGTTATGGAGTTCCTGTGCATAGCATCTTCCTCTGGGTAAAGTCAGGTCTCAACCTAAGCTGACGTTCGAGCAATTCCACCTTGGAGTAAAGCTGGCGATTCCGGCCCTATGAAGAAGGCATTTGCGAAAACAAGCAAATGGTGCATAGCTCCTCATCTATGGGGGTGTTTGTACAAGCCCCTTTTACCTACTGCTGGTGTAAATGAATCTGAATGGCTGGAGGGGGTAACCCCTGGAACTCCATTTATGGTGCCATTTCCATTTTTCATGGGAAGCCTAGTTAAATGGAATTGGCGACTCCCATTTTTGGGACAAGTTGTGAAAATCCGGGGGTCGGTAGATGCAGGACTGATTCTTTTGCGCTTCTTTGCTTAAGTGGGGCATTTGACTTAGATGCCACTATCTCCTTAACCATGGGGCATTTGCGCTTGAACCGCGGCTGAGCGAGTTCAGCCGCTGAAGAGTCCACTACCTGAGGTTCCATAAAGGCGGCCATGTGTGTCAAAGGAGCCGAGGTCTACTCACTTCCCTTTCAACATCAGACGTTCACCGCAATCATTCGAGAAAATGCAGTTTGACTTGCTAGGGACCCATGATGAAGGTTCCTCACTCATGGATCTCTCAATTCACCCAATTGCATTTGGAGGAAGGTCCCTGACTTTTGGATCTTGATTCAGCTTGGTGTCACAAGGCCTCAAAGTTTTGACTCTACAACAGCCCCGCCCAGAGTTCGGGGCTCCCTGATTATCTGATTGAACTGACCCCTTCCCCCTTAGAGGGGATGCATTTGGCCCCTATAAACAAACTTGAAAGAGGGGAGCCGAGCCCCATCTGGCGACTTGTAGCCATTCGTGGTCTCAAGAGCGGGGGCTGGGTGCTCAACAGCCCTAAGTCTTATTGGCGCCCAAAGGCCCGGATCTTGATCGCCCCATTGAGCACCCAGCTTTGGCGTTCTTTCGTGAGTGAAGATGTGACTCACTTCACGTGGCCTTGCCAACGGGAGCCGTGTGACCCGTTAGGTCTTCCTGCTGGAGGCCGGGCACTTGGCTGGGCGGCACCTGGTCCCTGCGGAACCACTGCTGCGCCTGCCCAAGCTGAGAAAACGGAAGCACCTGACCCTTGGATCGGCTTTTTTTTGAGGGTCCCTTTTTTTTGGTACTGATGTTCAAGAAAAGAATCAACGGGACACCCACCAATTTTCCCCCACCCACCCACTCCCCACCATTTTGAGACACACGCCGTGTTTTGTTGGTGTCCCACCTGTGATTTGCCGATTTGTTCGGGTCCTGGAGCAGCGCGGCCAGCGAATCGGTGTGCTTCCTTCACAAAACAAGAGCCGTTGGTTGGTTTCAAAGGGAAGCGAACAAACCGTCCCTCGTCTGAATAGCCCCTGTTTGATGTTTGATGGGTTTAAGCGATTGCACCTTTTCCAAGAAGCACACATCAACGAGTTTCATGTGCTCAAAAGGTGACCCCTGGAATTTCACTTGTATTTTCCCTTGTCCCTTTTGACTTTCCTGCAAAAACGCGAAAACGGACTTGGGGGGCACCCTGGACACCCCACCCCCCTCTCCGACTCCGCGAGGAAGCGCTTCCTGGTGACCCAGGAGGAGGTCCTGGCGCCTCGAAGGGCGATTTTTGGGCGCAACTCCCCAAGCCAGCACCCCCCTAAAAAAATATGACCCATTGACCTAGGGTGGTTGCAACCACTGGAGCGGAAAAAACTAAACATAGCAAGAAGTTGCGTTTTAGGAGTTCTGACGCAATGTGAGCAGATCCGAAGTGTCCGGCATTGGTAAAACAAAGGTGGGTGCACCTTGTCATGAAGTTATTTGCCCGTTTCGAAAGGGCACGGAAGGCAGAAGCTTTGGCAGAGTGGGCGACGGATATTTCAGTGGTTGGCTGGTGGCGGGGGTGATTGACAGAAGGCTTGCGCAAGTTGCTCCCCATGAGAAAGAGCCGGTTCAGCTATCATGGGTATGGGCGTGTAATGGCGTGTACTTTTTTAAGGGGACCCTGGGTCCCCCAATAGCAGCGGAGACCCCTTGCTGGTTTGGACTGCTTTGCTTAGTGTAAAAAGCCATCCACTTGTGGTTGGGCCCGAGGGAAGCAGGGCAAAGCCTCAGAGTAGATACCCGAAAACCAGTCAGGGTCAAACCCTGAAAAAGGATGGTACAATTCTATCTCAAACTGGAGGGGGTTGAACATGTCGCATGGGTCCATCGAATCCGAGGAGGGCTTGGACCAAGTTGCTGCAGACTTCCCGTCGGCTGCCACCTGGTGCCAGCTGCTTGACAGCTTCAAGCACCCGCCGCTGCCCTACGAGGCCTGAAGGGCGCAACTTTCTTTACCCGGGAGGGGGGCCTAATTCAATCCATGTTTGTCTGACCTAAAAGGTTCCCGGATGTTGTGTTTCAAGGGTCACCATAGAGGACTTCCAGCAAAGATCCACCACACGGGCGACAGCCAAGCTATCTTCCGGGCAATTCACCTGGATCGAACTGCCCGGGCCGAGAGGCACTCCTTGCAGTTCTTGCTTCTGAAGAGATGATCTTAAATTCAGGGATGTAACGAAAGCTTGAAGTTGGAACATGAAGAGCCCTCCCCACACTGTCTTGCTAAGACTGTCCATTTGCGCCCGACATGCTGTAAGTTGCCAGCCCGATTTTTCAAACATCACCCTCTTTGAGCTTCTTGGCAATTCTCTGAGTACATGGTTGACCTCAAGGGGGTAACTAGTCGCAACCTGGCGTGGACAGCTTTCTATGTTCGATTCATTATATGCCAGGCTCCCTTCGACTTGCTGTAGAGATGGCAGCCCCCTAGCGGATCTCCGGGCACAGGGAAGGCCCCAAAATGCAAGAGCCCGAGGAACAGATCGAGAAGGATGTCACAAAAATAGGGGATCTGATTTGATCCCCTTATAATTTTTCAATATTGAGGCTCCCCCAGAAGATGAATATGACATGGCCTTGATCGTATTGTCGATATCTGGATTGTGCTTTGGTTGTCCCTACTTCAGCCTTTTTTTGTGAAATCATCGCAGAATGTACTCTATGCTTTGTTTCCACCTCGACGTTTGGCGCCACTTGCCGGCCCGGCAGGTCTTCGAAGGCAAGCTGGACACCTTGCAGGACCTGAAATTCGGTAGGGGTGGCTCGTTCCTTTCAGAGTTGGTACTTTCGGAGTGGTAAAGGGAAACCGAAACAGGAAAGAAGCCATTTTCGCCCTCCCCCATTTTAAGGCACACCCATTTGCCCCCGTACTCAAGTACATGGATATATAAATATATACACGCCACATGTGTATTTATATAGTATACATACGGATCATAAAAATGCGTGGTTCGTCACTATGGTTTGATGTGATAGGACGAAGAACATGTGGGTGTCGACCTATGGTGCAGTCTTGGGAGAGGCATTTCAAGCTGACCTCTTTCCCAATATTTCCACGCTTCTAGCTGATCTTGGCACCATTAATTTACAAACGGGTAGTTCTTTGCATCAGACTTGTCGCAAAGATCCGCTGCCTCATGACATGACCGAGCCTGGCGTATGTGTGCAAGGGGCTTGGGGATCTGCTTTCAAGACTGTTTGGCCTCTCAAAAGGCAGGTTTCCTCTTGGCATGCCAAACATGTCCCAAGCACGGTGGGATGCCATTACCTTATTTCCCGGTGATACAAGAAAGTTGAATTCCTAGGAATCGGACACCAGTGTCTACCATTGTTCTTGCTTCATGGTGTTTGGTGTTTGTTGCTTTTTGGATTCTGGACACGTTTGTACAGGAAAATAGTCATGACTGCTTGAGAAAGCTTGGCAAGTGACGCAGATGCTGGTGTGTTTCTGTCACGGTTGGTTTTGTTTGGGTTCTGATTGTGAGTGGGGCCTGGCGAAATTCGTATTTTCGAAAGTGATACAGGGGGCCAAATACTTAAAAATGGCAAACTAATGATTGGTATACTCCTATGACCATGACTTTGGCTTTTAAGTGCCTACTTGTAACAACTAAAGATCCTGGGTTTAAAGCACCTCACTAATTTTTGGTATAGTCCTATGATCGTTCTACAAGTTTAGCCCCAAAGAACCGTCCTCAAGGAGAGGTTCCTCCGGCTGGCGCTGCGCGAGCCGTGCCCATCGGATGCCACGCTCGTGGTGGTGGAGACAGGCGATCCGACGCATTTGGAGCCACGGCGCTGGGGCGTTTTGGGGTGTGCTTTCGCTTAAAGACCCCTACACTTTTGTGGGTTAAAGCCACCAAAAGGAAACCAACAAAGCCAACAACTTGTTTGTTTTTTAGGTGTGTTGTCGTTGTTGGTTTCCTTTTGGTTTCACTTCAAAGCCGCCAAAAACGGGTGCCCTCCAAAAAAGACGCAACCTTAACCACTTTTTGGGTGAAGCTTTTGAGGACACCTTTTGGGTTTAAAGGGATACTTCGGGGTCTTCCAGTTCGACTTCGCTTTTATGCTGGCAGGGTCACAATAGCCGGGCTCGCTGTGAGCCGATTGAGCAAACAGAAAGCTTGTTCTTGTTGTGCGATGTCGAAAACCGTAGGTGAGAGAAAATGGAATAGGAACTCGAATAAGAATTGCAGGCAATCCAGAGATTCATCCATCCCAAGACTTGCATATGAGAACCCCAGGCTTGGTCCCAACCCAAAAACCCAAACCGGCACGGCCAAGAGCCATTCCTGGTATGTTTTGGACATCTTCTTCTGTTTTGGGAGGGTTGAGAGACCTCATGCGGAGGTCAGCCATTGCACCGTTTTTTTTTTTTTTTTTTTTTTTTTTTTTTTTTTTCCGCCTGCCCCTGTTTGTCCTTTCATTTGTTTGTTTTGTTTGTTTGTTGGTTTGTTTCATAAATTGCACCTATACGTGGTACACGAACAGTTGGCTGGCAGGTCTCTCCAGATGTTCCTCGATGGACCTATTTTGGAAGTCTCGGCACTCTGAGCGCGGATTTGCGCAGAACCCTTCTCTTTGCCCCTTCGCTTGCCGGCTTGGGGGTTCCTTGTTTGGGGGGTTCTGCAAAACTTTAAGGAACTTTTGAGACTAGGGGAAGATGGCAACCTCATTCGGTTTCCGTTTTGGAGAATTCCCCCATCTCCCGGCACCATCAGCACCCTTCCATTTGCTGCCGCTTGTTTCTACTGGCAGACAAGATGACTAGGTCCTGGGTTGGGCCAGCAGACTTTTTATGTGTCTTTTGTGTAGACAAAACATCTTTAAAACCATTGCTTCATCTGTAGATTGGCTGACTTCTGCCACCCATTGTTTGAGCCACACCTATTTGCTGTCCAGTGTAATGGAGCCTTTTGGTAGATTGGCACGCCATTGGCACGCCATCCTTTCATGTCTCAGGTTCATTCCTTGACCGGTCTTTGGCAACTTTCAATCGCTGGAACCCTCGACACAAATCACCGAAATGTCCAGAAGGTCGCGCGCTGTCCACTTGGTTTCCTGAACTCTTGTACACAGTTCAAGGGTCCACCGAAGGCTACGAAATTGATTGGGGAATCACCCCCCCGTAGGCGACTCACACCCATATCCAGATGGGATCTTAAAATGGACCCCTAATGGTTTCCTTTTGAAGCCAAAAAAACGGGCACCCTTTTGGTTTCCCTTTGGTTTCCCTTTAGTTTCCAACTAGAAATCGGTTGCACCGAGCCTCCAAGAAGACGCGCCGCTGTCGGCAGGGGAGCTGCTGGAGCGGCTGAATTTTCCGGCGGAGGAGCTGCGAGAAGCAGCGGCTGCCGGGGCGCAGGGGGCGGTGCAGGCCGCGCTCGGGGGCGTTTTTTGGGTAGGAGAGGCCCCCCGAAAAGCCACCAGAGGGTCGTTTGAACGGGAAGCCGCAGAGAACCATTTTTTCTCAAGGGGGGAAGTGTGGTTCCCGATTTGAAAGGCAAAGGGCGTGGGGTGGTTAGGGAGCTTTGAACCCTTTTTTGGCTGCCCATTACAATTCATAGCTATGTCTGAACGTGCCCCAAAAGGCTGAAAAGACTGGCAGATTAGCCTTAGAATGGTGCCACACACCAAGCGATGCTGTCCGCTTTCCGTGTCCAAGAAGCATGCACGCAGGTGGAAGGTCTTGCACGAACTTGGGTGCTCCCCATCAAAAGATTAGTTGCGTTTTGTTGGTGTCAAATCGTTGGACCCCTTAACTGCCTATTCTCACCCCTCCCTCGTGTTGGGAGCCCCCCATTAGAACCATTTTAGGTTGGTCTACCCGGTTCAATAGGGGTTGTAGTGAAGCCAACAAAAGAAGCAAGCAGTATCGAACCAAGAGAAGCAATGATTCCGAACCAAATCAGCCCTTGAAGGGGGGGTCCACCATTTTGAGACACCCAGATAAACATGTGGGGGTTGATCGATATTGCTGGCCCCCAAACGACTTCTGGGTAACTTTTCCCCACCATCGTCTCGTTTGTGGCTTTCCAGACTGGTCATCCTACTTCGGACCTTTGGATCAACCCCAAGGAATGCTCACCTCGCCAGGTCTTGGGCGGGCTGCGCCAGCTGGGCCAAGCCATGTACGGAGGTTCGGCTTCGCTGGGGCGCCAGGCGACGCCGGGGCGACGGGGATATGAGAACCCCAAGGCCCAGTTGCCCAGTGCCCTGTTTTTCCTTCTTTTGGGAAGGGTTTCGCCTTTAAGGTTAATTCACCAAAAATCGATACCCTTTTTTGCGGGTTCCCCAGGGGAAACTTTGAAAGGAAAACAGCCATTCTGTGCGGACACACCCGTGTGTTGAACAATGTCGTGGCTGTGAAGTTTTAATGTACCCTTTGCTGGACGTCAGAAGTCGGTGGGGATTCGTGTCCAACATCCACCTCGGAGGTGGTTCCCCCAAAATCTCACAAACAATTTGGAGTGCTTGGAGAATGACCACAGCGATGAAATCGCAGCCCAAGGGTTTTTGGCTTGCGGCCTTGGGCCTCATTTCGGTTCCTTTTCCCAGCAGTTATGCTGTAAATGATGAGTGCAAGATGCATCATCATGCGGGGCTGGGGTTGAGGAATCATGATTTCTGCAACCACAAAGTTTACTGCCTGCCCATGTAGGCTGTTCATATTTGAATGATGGCAGAGGATCAAACAGCATCTCGACAACATGTCGTGGCTGAACTGTTTCCTGACCAACCACCAAACTTATACTCTTTGCAGGGGTAAAAGATCCACAAAAACTCGAACACTGAACAGGCTGTGGGACTCTTTTACATGCTTTCTTCACAGGGTCGAGCCGTTTCGGTTTGTGTATTTTTGTCGTGTGTGTGTGTGTGCGGGAGCGCGCCTGTTTCATGTGTGTGTGTGTGTGCTTGTGTTCGTATGAGTCTGTAATTATGTTTGCTTTGTGTTTTATTTGGTATATTTGTGTGTTTGTTTATGTGTGTGTGTGTTCTATCTTGCGGTGTGTTTGTCTTGTTTGTATTCTTGTATGTTTGGTATTTGTGTTTGTGTTTGCGTGGTTTGGCCGTTCAGTGTGTGGTCTGCTCGTGTTTGCGTCATCGACTGTGCGTGTGCGTGTGGGTGTTTGTGCGTGTGGTGTGGTGTGGTGTGGTGTGGTGTGGTGTGGTGTGGTGTGGTGTGGTGTGGTGTGGTGTGGTGTGGTGTGGTGTGGTGTGGTGTGGTGTGGTGTGGTGTGGTGTGGTGTGGTGTGGTGTGGTGTGGTGTGGTGTGGTGTGGTGTGGTGTGGTGTGGTGTGGTGTGGTGTGGTGTGGTGTGGTGTGGTGTGGTGTGGTGTGGTGTGGTGTGGTGTGGTGTGGTGTGGTGTGGTGTGGTGTGGTGTGGTGGTGTGGTGTGGTGTGGTGTGGTGTGGTGTGTGTGTGTGTGTGTGTGTGTGTTTAGGTGCGTGCGTGCGTGCGTGCGTGCGCGCGTGCGTGCGTGCGTGCTCGTTTGTGTGCTTTGTCCTTTGACTCCAACCCTTGCTGTTTCGACACTGACTACTGGGGGCAGCACGCAATCCAAGCAGGCTGATGCACGTGTAGTGGTTTGACTCTTTTCAGGAGCAGCTGCTGATGCAGGCGCTCGGGGCACGCACAGAGGACAGGGGCCTTGGGCTCATTTTGTGCTGCCCTAGGGGCGTCCACAGAGCTGCAAAAGGGCGGATGGCTATATTGAATTGAGCAAACGTTTGCAATTCAGGGCGATCGCTGGATGATACCTGATAATGTTGATTCTGCACTTGTGGCAAGCGATTCCTGGGACGGAAACCAAACTCATTTGCTGACTCTTGGGGGTTTGCAACCACACCCATGAAGGTGTATGCACCTTGCAGAAAACTCATTGCTTGGGGTTGGTGAACTATTGTGTTTCAACAGTTTTGTTGGCGGAACGGTGAACCCTGAGGAGCCATTGCCGCCGAAAGCAGAGGTGCCGGAGACGTCAGAGGACGCGCACAGAGCGGGATGGCTGGGGCCCGGCAGTGTCATTGCGGGAAACCCAAGGGACAGGGACGCGTAGATACGCGTAGTATGGGTATGGGTCAAAATGAAACCACCAGAAAACCGCAGGTTGTAGTCCATGACTCCAGGGTTCCATTTTGGGTATCTATTTTTGACCCACAGCCAGCGTAGTATAAAGGCCTAAACAATTAGACTCAGTTTACCCCTGTCTTGGCTGAATTTGGTTTACCCCAAAACCCTCTGCGAATTGTTTAGGCGCTGATGTTCTAAATGGAACCAAGAGACCTACTTGGAGATCTATGGCTCTGAAGGTCTCGACTCCAGGAACCCAAACATGGCACAACGCCCCAGATATATCTGAGGGGTCCTTGTGTTGGGATGTATAAGTAGAGATATGACTAGGTTTCTACTCTGTATCCCTTTTTGTGTGGGTCAACCGGAATCTCTGGGCACTTCTAAAATGATAACTCCTGTGGAAAAAGCTCTGATGTGTTGCCAAGCACCTTCGAAATTGCCAGCAATCTTACTTAATATGAGGCTCAGATGCCTGCGATCCGAAGCATCCTGCGACCGTAGCTCCATTGCTGAATGAGGCCCTTTCGGCGGAGAACAACCCCAGTTTGTTGTTCTTCTGCCGGTGATTCGCCATGCTAGAGTTAGCTTTTTTCTGTGTTGTGCGATTGTGTTTAGACATTCGTTGCTGTTGTTTTCGGCTCTTGCGGTTGTTGTTTATGTCATTCCCGGGCTTGGAAGCGATAAAACAGAATAGGCCTGTGTGTCACAAGTGTCGCAACTCATGTTTGCTTCCTGCTCCGCGCCAAGTTTCTTTTTGGAAGATGTTCAGCTTCCGCTGCCAGTCCCTTTTGTCTGGGAACGGATGGCCTGCCTCAAAATGGCAATCACTTTAAGGGTTGGAGCACCCTCCAAAAATGAGTGGTAACTAGCATGAATCAACCCATGTTTGTTTCATGATGTCCACCAACATTTCCCCAAGTCACAATTGATATCCAAATGGGGAACCCATTGTTTTGAAAAGGAAACTAAGACTGTAGCCACCTGAAGCTGCGCCTAATTTTGATGACTGCCCGTTTTGGCCTTAGTAGAAATATTGTGTTTGTGTTGCCGTTATCACTAGAAATACCGTGTTTGTTCGTCATTTGGATCCCTCAAAAGTTGTATCTCTTCAGTCAAGCGTATCAGTTTGGGTCCGACACAACTGGTTCAGGTGAGGAATCCGCTGTTTCAGACCAGTAGTTGAAACCAATGTCCGGCGGGAATGGATAGCATCAGCATCCAAAGAGGGCCCTGTTTGAATCTGTGACTTCTGGATCAACCCTGGCTCAATGCCCGGGCCTTTGGCTTCCATGAAAACGCACGGGTAGGGAACGACCCAAGATGCCACGGGTTTCATGTTCTTTTCCAAGCATCCGTGATTTGTGTGACTCAGGTGAGAGGGAGAACTGTGAAACCAGGCCCTCCCCTTGAGGGAGCAAAAGCAGGTTGCGTTCAGCCACAATTGCTGTTTAGCTATAGGTTACAGTTGGCTGTGGGTCAAAAATAGGTAGCCAAAATGTAACCCTGGTAGAAGGAAGCATGGACTAAAACCTGCGTTTTGTTTGGTGGTTTAATTTTTGACCCACAGCCAGTTGGCTTTGGCCGAACCGTTTTCTTCCATTTGCTCAAGAATATGTTTGTATTTTACCTTGTTGGTTTAAAGGGAATCTATCACTACTTTTTTTTGGGGGGGGATATTTGTTTTTCTTTTTCCCCGGGTGCTTAAGCAAATGGAAGTTTTATGGAGACAGGAGCCTCAGAAGCCGGTGGACCCCGCGGTGGCGCGCGCCCGCGCCTGGCTGAGCTCCCGGGGCATCTTGGACCTCGCCACCCCGCCGAAGACGCCGACAAAGACGCCGACGCCAGCGACGCTGGCCGCGACCCCGCGGAGCTCCGTGGATCGGTGCTCAAGGGCCAGGGGGTGGGAGATGGGTAGGTAGTCTTGGACTTTGAAAGGGGTATCCTTAAAATGTGGATACCTTAAAAGGGGGAATGCTGAAAAGGGGGTGTAGTTTTCGAAAGCCCAGGGGTATCCTTAAAAGCACTCGGTTGGCTCAAGGAAAGCCAGTGCTTGCAACGATAGGTAACTGAGTCGAGGAGGCCTTCAGGGAACATCCGTGGTTGCCTAACTGGGATTCCCTGAAAGGGACCACGTTGCTGAAGGGTCGTGCAGTTGCAAGGTATCATTTGAGGTTTGTCAAATGATCTAGTCTGCGCTTACAAATTTAGGGTTCGTGACACGGGGACTGAACAGGACTCGCACTTGTCAGCCAAGGACTGTTTGTGAGCAACGCCCTGTTTAGGGCTGTTCCAAAGAAAAGAGCAAAGGAAGCCAAAGACGGGAAACCAACCACAAACCATAGAGAAAGAAAACGGAAACCTAAGGGAGATGAAAGGGAAACCAGAAGACCTAATGGAGACCCAAGCAAGACCGATGCTTCGCGAATGCGGGGGTTCTTCCAAAGGCGGCGCTGCGGGCCCCTTCCTCTTGGACGACGCCAAGGCGGAGCAGGCCAATTGGGTCTCAGGGGCGGTGAGGTTGAATTGTTGTTGAGACCAGGGAGCTTTGGGAGTGACGAATCAACTGGAAAGGCCTCTCAGTATCACAGTAGAAAGGCAGCTTGTCGGGTTGTTATGGCCAGACTTTCAGATGACGTTGGAGGTAAATAGGATGTTAGACATGAGGAAACTCACAATTCGAGCCGCACTTCCCAACCCTTCTTACCCCGGATAGCTTTTGCTCAATGTCATTAAACGCAACCAGATCGCGGCATACAATTGCAAAATCAGAGGGAGCTAGCTAGCGCATGAATAATATGCATCCAGAGTGTCAAGGGACTTGGGTTTCTGGAAAGGATTCAGACCCCCAAAATGGTTGGCGCGGCCTTTGTTTCCCATACCGGCTTTTGCAGAAAGAGAGAGAGAGGGAGAGAGAGAGAGCTTACCTTGCGGTGTCGCTTCATTTCCTTTCAACCACCAAGCTGCAGGGTGTCTAAGTCTGGCCACACAACCAAAAGACCAAACTCACCAGGGTTCCCCTCAAACGAACCTTGCCGATGGTTTCCCCGTGGGCCCAGGTCCCTGGCGGCGGAGGTGCGCCACACCGAGGCGCTGCACGAGCGCCTGCGGGCGCGGGCGGCCAAGGAGAAGCTGCCGATGCCCTGCGCGGAGCCCGTGAGGACGGGGGAAGCGAACGGTGTGAAGCGAGGGGGGGGGGGGGGGGGAGGGGGGGTGATGAGTTCTTTTTTTTTGTGTTTTTTTTTTTTTTTGTGTGGCGAGCTCACAAGGATAAAAGGGTATAACGAGCGAAAGCCAGGATAAAGGTGCTTTATTTTGGGGATCCCTGATTCAGATCTTTGGAGTTATATAGCAGAATGATGGACACTTAGTTGATTTGGCAACCTCCTTCCTTGAGGGTATTGGTTTTGGAAATGACCTTGAAGTGTCCATGGGTGCTTCTTTCTTCTCACTTGTCAGAAGCGAATTGACCTTTTGCTCAACCACCTTTTGGCCAACCATGTTTGAAAAGGTTAACCTTTGATTTTTGGGTCATTTGAGCAACTAAGGTTGCGTTGCCTTTCTTCAAGACACTCCACTTGTGAGCAGTCTATGTCCGTGTGTGGCCATGACCTATTGGACATAGGTCCAACCTTTACATGTAGTACTGTAGAGATTTGTGCCAAGCCATTGTTGTATAGCAAATATGTGTAAAGCTATTTGTTTCTCTCTTGCTTTCTTTCGTTTGTTCTTTCTTTATTTATTTATTTGTTTATTTATTTATTTATTTCTGTCTTTCTGTATTTATTTATTATTATGTCTTTGTTTATTTTTTCTCTTTATGTGTTTTGTCCTTTCTTGTGTCTATCTTTTTTTTGTTAAAACAACTTTGTTTTTTTTGTTTCTTTTGTTTTTCTTTCTTTGTTCTTTATTTATTTCTTATTTATGTCTTTTGTTTCCTTCTGTCTTTCGTTATTTATGTTTTCTCTTTTTTATATTATTTTTGTTTCCTTTGTTATTTCTTTGTTGTTTTTCTTTATGTTTGTTTCCTTTGTTATTTCTTTTTTTTTTTTCCTTTATTTTTGTTTCCTTATTTCTTTCTTTTTAATTTATTTGTTCTTTCTTTCTCTATTTATTATTTCTGTCTTTCTTTCCTTCTTTCCTTCTTTCTTTCTTTCTTTCTTTCTTTCTTTCTTTTTTTCTTTCTTTCTTCCTTCCTTCCTTCCTTCTTTCTTTCTTTTTTTCTTTCTTTCTTTCTTTCTTTTTTTCTTTCTTTCTTTCTTTGATTCCTTTTTTCTTTCTTTCTCTCTTTCTTTCTTTTTTTGGTACGTTCTTTTTTTTTCTCTCTCTCTCTCTCCGTCTCTCTCCCTCTTGAGCTTCATGGTATGCTCACTAACTCACAGGGAAAAGCCATTTCGAACGAATCTTCCGAGATTGCGCAGGAGGGCCCAGCAGAGGGCAAAATCCATCCAGCAGAAGTTGGCGGAGCAGGAGTCAAAGTGCGGGAGTTTTGCAACCCTTTGGCTCTGGGGCTGCTTTCCGCTTTGCTTGGGGTTGCCGGGTCAACCTGCGCTAGTATGGGTTTGGAACCGCAGTGGTGGGCTTGACATGGCAGCCAAAAGGAAACAAGCTGGTTAACCTGCCTAGTTGGGCCCTGAATGGCCCTGACCTGAGCTAGGTGTGCCCTTCTTGAAGCCAAAAGGAACCAGACCTCCCCATGTGGGGTGTCCAGCTCATAGTTTTCAGACAAACCCAGCCCAGTCCACAGGGTGAACCGGTCGTGTGCCAGTTGCTCCTGAGGAGGAGGCGGAGCTGCAGCTACGCAGCCGCAGCGGCCAGGTGCCTCGAGCGGCACACGGGATCGTTTTTGGTGTGGGTTCGGGACCCAAAACAGCCATGGGTCAAAAGCCCGGTTACCCCCCAGTGAACATCCCAGCAACAAGCCTGTGCTTGTCTTGGCAAAAAGGGAATGCTTCGTGGTGTTCCAGCCCGCAGTCCTTTTGAAAAACCCAAAGTGAATCCAGTGGGAAATTCTTTTCTGAGGTGCCCAGTGACCATTTGGCTGTGGGTCAAAACCAATGGTACCATTTGGGGGTTTTCGGTGCACCAACCATTTTAGATCCATCAAGCCTATAGCCATTTTATCAAGGCCGGCCAAGCCCTATCAAGAAAGGCAAGTCCAATGGCCGTTTTATCAAGAATGCGCAGATCTGCAGATTTGTGCCGCGGATTGCGAATTTGATATGCTCCCATGTGAACAGGTTATCAGCGGCCGGGCAAGCCAGTTTAGCCGCAATGGTTAGCTTATCAGAGTTAATTGCCGTTTTTTCAAGCGCTATGGCTAGCTAAGGAGGCCAGCCGCTGATAAAATAGCCGCCCGGGCTCGATGTGTAGAGATTAGCAAGTTTAACCAAATAAACCGGCTGTCCGGGCTTGAAATGATGACTTTTGACAACGCCTTTCGGAGATGGAAATTGAGCATCGCATCTTCGCTGGCAGTCTCACACATGCCCTTTCCTTTGAAAATGCAATTTGACGACTGGAACATGGGAACGATTTGGTCCCTCTCAATTCTGATCACCCAAATCCTCTGAGAAACAGGCCGGAGTCCGAAACCAACACCAAGGGCTTGAGTCTGCGTCAAAATAGGGGCGACCCTAAAATGGCAGGTGTCACTTGTTTTTGTTTCCTATCAAGGTTCAAGAGGGTAGGTGCCCTCGAAAAAGCACACAGAGACACCCGCCAGGTCTTGGCAGCCCAGACGGCCGAACTCTTCCGGCGCCGGGACGCGCGCCTGCGGCGCTGGCAAAGCTCCCGAGGACGGGTTGCCAATCACCAACCACTATAGGGCTGTGCCTCCTTTTGCTGGGGGAGCCCCACAATGGCCTTCTTCGGGTTTTCTTGCCTTTTGGTTTTCCTTTAAAGCCATCAAACCAAGGGGTACCAACTCCGAAAAGAGAACTCAGCCACCCATGTCGTTGACACGGTACGCCGTCCAGTTGGGCAGATGCCTCGAGTAGGCGAGCGGACGGCGAGCTTCGCCTCCGGCGAAGAGTCACCGCAGCCTGCGCCGGAGCCGTGCCCACTGCCTGACTCGGAGTGAAGGGCCCAGGCCTTGAAATGTACTCATAAAATCCAAAAATCCCGAAAGTGGCGGTCGTTTGATGGAGGACCCCTCTTGAGGCTGGTTTCAAAGGTAGAAGGAAAACCCGGAATTTGGGGGTCCCCAACAATAAGAGAAACCCAAGGTAACAAATTGTGATTCTACACCTGTTTGGTTGCAAGTCAAGTTCCCCCCCCCCCACACAAAAAAATACCTATACGTATGTTCCTCAGTTGAACAAGTTTGGATTATCAAGAAAGAGGTGCTCATCACTCATTAACACTGTTGGCCGAAAATAGTGTCGGCCCGCCAACAATTACCCTTTAATATAGAGGGCTTCCAACCTTATATCCGCAAAAAGGGAGATTAGAAAAGTTGCAGTTGCTGTGCAGACAAATAGTGACTGTGAGCAGGAAGGTGTGTCCGATTGGTGCCAGACCGGCTTTTCCAGGAGTGTGTTGAACATGAACGGCACTTAGTCTTGTTGCTTGTGCGGCCAACTGGGTGTTTGGTAGCCTTTTGAACTCCATGATTCCGTGCTGTTGAACCTCAAGTGGTCTTCTCTGAAAGTGAATGTTGCACATGTTGGCTTGCTCCTGGCGTACGCAGCTCAATCATCCAAGCTTGAAACATTTGGCATAGGATTCTATGTGAGATTCCAGGCAGCTTGCAGCACCAGAAAGGTTGGGCAACTTCATGACGTTGCAGCCTAGGGGCTTGCCCTACCTCCTTTGTGCTTCAGAAATTCGTGGGGCATCGGGCGGGCGGATCCGGTCCTCCGTCCGTTTGGCCATCTCTGCAACCAGATCGGGGATTGAGCGAAGCTCCGGACCCAAAGGGTACCTGGCAATGCGGCTACAGCCGAAGTGTACAGATGCTTCCCAAAATCAGACCCCCATCGGGTGTGTGTTTGAGGCTCTTTGTGGGAACCAAAGGGAAACCAAAAGGACACCAAAGGGACACCAAAGGGACACCAAAGGGAAACTGGAAACTGCGCCCGTTTCTGGGGACTCCAGTTCGAGACAGACACCCGACTGGAGGGGGTCCCTTTTTTGGAAGCACCCCGGGGAGAGACTGCCATCTGATTGGGATCAGTCCGCAGCTCGATCAAAGTCCGGAAGCCCGCGCAGTCTGGCCAGGACTTGACGTCTATGAAAATTCCAAATCCAACTGGGACCCAAAAAGATTGGACCCATCAGATCGGTTTGATGGGCTAGGGCCATATCCCTGTCCGATTTTCTGAGTTCTGGCCCTATGACAGTTAAATGTGTTTTTCCGTGTCTGAAAGTGAGCAAGTATTGGTTGCCGCTGGACAGATTTGTTTTGAAGGTATGCCAGTGCCCAAGATGGCTTCTAGTTCAAGAACTGTCCCAGATCAATACCGTTCTGCTCTTTTGTTGATCAAGCTAGCCCTTGACTCTTTCGGAACACAAGAAACACAGATCAGCAAGTTGTCTTATCCAGCTTCGGATCATCCAAAGGGACTGAGCCTACCCACCCATAGTCAAGGTGTCGGCACTCACTGGACGGCGTTTTGTTGTTTTCTCTGAAGCGGGTTCAACAGCAATTCGCTGTGCAGAGGGTGCGGTCAAACCAGATCTCAAAGCATGGGCCCTCCAATCCATCGTTGAAGGTCAAGGTAACCAACATGTTGGCTTTCTTTTCCCCACTTCCCGAGCTGTCAGCAAGTGAGTTTCCGACAAAAGTCTGTGGGGGTCCAGGTCAACAAATTTTGATAGTGCCAGGCATCTGATATGGCCAGGGTCCCAGGCATGGCGCACTCGGGCTTGCGCGTGCTGACCAGCTTTCAAACCTTGAAAAAGCTTTAGGGGTAGACCACTGACAGAAAGTTGGCTCCAAGGACACAGGTCCTATGCATCGGCTTCCACGAAAGTGCACCCGCTTTTGGAAGACGGCACCTTTCCTTTCGGAAAGGTTGCACAGAACTATGTGTGGGTATGTTATCCAAGCTGAAGTTGGAGCTGGAAGGTCAGTTCTGGCGGCTAGTTGGAACCGAGGCTGCCCTACAACGGGATGCTGAAAATCACAGGAAGAGGCACAGGGACGGGCAGGGAGCGGACGAGCTGGACTCGCGTGACATCCCCCAACTTTGCCTTTGTTCTACAATGTGAAGCTTCGAAGTACGTAATCTGAAATATTGTGGCGGAGCTCAACAATTAGTCAGCTCTATGATATTGAGTGATGTGTTGATTCCCACAAGCTTCAGCCTCGCTGGAATGGAAGAGGTCCTGTCACATTGTCAAATCCCTGAAACATCTTGAGGAGTTCCCTTGTGTCCTGGGTCTTTTCTGCAACCTCCTTTCGGGTGTTGGTTTTTGGGCCTTCTGCAAAATAGACTAAGTGCTAAAGAGGATTCCTTCACATGGACGTGGACGACAATCCAAATCTGGAGGGCCAAGGGGCCGTCAAGTTACTTGGTTCATCCGAAGGCCTCGCTAGATGAGCGCAGCTTAGAAGCTGCTTGTAGCTGAGATCTGAGGGACCTTTGGACGCCCACATTTGGATCGGCACCCTGCATGTGTGCAACCACATTGGGACAATGGCTCACGCGAGCATATGTCAGGTTCGTGTTTGATCCCAATGGTGTCCGATTTCTTTCTTCGGAACATTCCCCCCTTTCTCCCCAGAGAGATTTTCTAGAAGCATTCACAAAGCCCATAGGCTCCTGAGCCTTTCCTGGGGGTCGTGGTTTCTCCCCTGTCTGTTTACACCCGCGCCATGTGTTTCGCTTCTTCACAGGGCTGCAAATAACTTTTCGTATTGGCACCCAGTCCAGTCCATGAAGTAAGGCCAGCAGGGCGGTGCGCTTTTGGGGTTGATTTGAGGGGTAACCACTCCCATTTGCAGGTTCCCCCATTTCAAGACAAATCCCATATGGGCCCAATCCCGGGTTTTTCGTACCAGTCCGGGAACCGCAGCTCAGGTACTTGGCGGCAGGGGCCCCAGACCAGGGGGGGGCGAAGGGCTAAGATCCATGTGTTGAGTGCCTGGCATCTTCCTTCCCCACATTCTGGCAGGTTGCTGCAAACTTCAGCCCACCATCCACCTCTGCCAACTGCGAGCCAGTTTTTGCCCCTTTGTGAAAATTGACAGCTTCAATCGAGCTGCGATTCTGAACCTGTCGAGCCCCCGAATTCACATTGGTGCTCTGTTTCCACAAGTTGGGTTGGGTCATGCAAGATTTTGGCCATGGGCAACCTGTATGACACACTGTATGAGCACTGTTGCCCGTCACAGCTCAATGTTAAGTTGGGGGCGCGGGGTGGTAAACATGTAGTCTTGTGAAAAGTATGTAATATTTCTTCCATCAACAGTATGACGCGCGCTTGGAATATCTGGGCTCCTCGGCGACCGTGATTCCAGAACAACATGTATTTGCTGGCTGTTTGAAAGGACTTCCTCAGGAGCTCCGTGTTTTTTCCACAACCCTGAATGGCACACAGGGTTGCCCTTTCTAGACCTACCTTGTCCTACCTTCTTGCTCCCCTGGTGATCATGTTGGCACGCCTTTCTACAGCCCGCGTCGCTTCTTTGTTGCACCCGCGTTCCCCGGCCACGTTTTCATCAGTTCCCTGTTTGGAAAGTCAAATTTGATTAGTGGCTTATTTGCAAAATTCCGTTATCCATATGTGTATCAAAACGAAAGGTTCCAAACCCTCTTTTGAAGCCCTGGAAGAAAGACAACAAAGGCAATTGTTGGGTGGTCTCCAATCTTTGTAGGTGGAGCTTACAAACGACGATGATACACACTGTCTTGCATACGTGTTGGTTGCATACGAGTCTCCATACCTGTAATACCTCCAATACACATGCCTGAGTCTTGCTATGTTTAATCCACGCTTGGGTTTCCTTCCCGAAAGTGGCCGTTCGATGCGCATAGCGAGGTGTGCTGGTGTGCCAAAGTGCTGCAGCCGGCGGACGCGGAGGAAGTGAACCGTCAAGCAGAGTTCGAGGCCGTCAAGCAAAGTTCGATTGGGGCGGTGGATAAATAGCCCTCTGAGGTGTCTAAGATTGCAAGGGGTTTGTTTTTGTTGTGTCTCTTTTTTTGTACGTTTTCGATTTTCCTCCGGAGGCGTGAGTTTTCTGGAAGTGGTCACTCTCGACAAAGGGGGGGGCTTTTCCAATGTCAGGAACCAATCAGGGTACCATGAAGACAATAGGCACATTTCTAGAACCGAGAGATCTCAAACAGGTTGGTTTGACCATCGGAGCTTCCCTTGAAATGCCTTCCAAAAGGGCTGCCTAAAGATCTTTTGTGTTTTTTTGTTATCAAACAGTGGGTTCTGCCCTCTAGGCGGTTGGTTTCCAGTTTCCCTTAAGATGCTTTAGCCGCAAACAGTGGGTCCCTATTTTGACTTTGACACAGCTCCTTTGTGGTTGGTCCCAGACGACGACAGGATTCTAAGTATATGCCCATGGCGGTAGCATCAAACCTCACCCTTTGGGGCTCACTGAAGTGAGTACCCCTTGGTGGGGTTATGCTTAGTTTCGGCTATGGTAGGCAAAAGGCGAGTTGAACTCTGAACACACCACAAACACACACACACGCACGCACTTGAAGACTGGGGTTCACTCGCAGGCAAACGATGCTCGACACGAGTGCAGCAATGCGGAACAAAATACGCAGAACAGTGCAAACGGAAACAACAGCATCAACAACGCAAGACACAGGGATCAAGGCAGCAAGTACACATCCACGGCCAGTGGATGCTTCCTCTCTGATGCATAGCTTCGAACCGAACAACATCGGAGTGCTCGATCCCGCTGCATCTTGTTAGACATGGTTAGATGATGAATGAATTAGCGTGCGTGATCCAGCGCGGCACACACACAGGATCCAGCAGTTGCAGTGCCCAGGATTCCCTTTGAAAATAAGGGACCCCCTGATTCAGTTTCCCGCATTTCTACTGGGACCTCTTCTGACATCATTCTAGACTTAAATGTTTCAGGCCAGGGATTGAACGCATCATTTCTTCGAA